AGACGGGGGGACGGGGTGTAGAGTCTCAGTGCGCTGCCTGCAGGATCAGCACGACGGCTGCGAAGGCCTGGCAACAAGGCACTGTCTGCTACCAAGGTCCTGTTTTCCCAAGCCCGAAAGCCCCTGGAAACGGGATGTTCCCCCTTCTTCTAGCAGTCCTGAATAGGGATTGTAGTACCCCATAAGAATCCCCATGAAGGACTTAGTATAACGGGGCACCCAACCCTGGAAATTCGAATCGCGACCTTACTCAGCAAGCCGCACTATTTTCTACGTGGCAACTCAACTGGGTACACATTTCGGGACTCTTTCCCTCAGCAAAGCGGCACCAGCAAGCTAAAACTCTGGACCCTGAACCCCGAATCCTGGGGCACTGAACCGGGGTTTCGGGGGGGTTTTCGGATTTTCCCTAGACAAGAAGACCCGTCCTTCCAGGCCCCGCTCATGGTTCCTCGAGGTCCGAGGCCTCGCACGCGGAGAGCCAGGAAAGGGTTTAGGGTGTTTAGTTTAGGGTTTGGGGTTTAGGGTTTAGGGTTTAGGGATTAGGGTTTAGGGTTTAGGGCTTAAAGCTTAAAGCTTGGGCTGAGGGCTTAGGGTTTCGGGTCACAGCTTTTGCCGAGGGTTTTGTTGCGGTTTTAGGGTCTTAGGGCCTTGAGGGTTTTTGGGATTTTCGGGTTTCATCCTGATATCCTTGTCTTGGATTTAGGGTTCTAGATTGTAGGGACTACCGCGCGACTACGGCTTAGAGTTTCATACAGAACCCACCCCACATACCTCGCTTATCACCCCTAGTGGAGCACACCTGCAGCCTACAGACGGCATCAAAGGACCAAAAATTGACGAAGTCCCAAAAAACCAGCCATAAACAAAAACAGGATTCCCGGTGCTACTCTCTCCTCCCCCCCACCCCCCACCTTGCGGATACCATCCCGTCGCAGAAAGCCAAAAACAAAAGCAAAGGTGAATGCAAAGACTCTTTGGCACCCTAACTAAACCCCACAGACCCCTCGAAATGCTCCTCACCCTCACCCCCCCCCCCCCCCCCCAAATCCTAACCACCACACCCCCTAAACCCCCAGCCCTCAAGCCCCCCCCGCCTCAGGGGCGTTCAAGCGTTGGTTGGGGGGGGAGGTGGGGCGTCGACAGCTGCTCTACTGAAGTGAGGCTGGTTGGTTTGGTTTTTGCCTTGGCACTTGATCTCACCAGGGTTTTGTTTTCTTGGAAGTCTTTCTTCAAAAGTCGCGGTCCATGGAATATGCTACTTTGGGGGGGCCTGGTGCTGCAGCAAAAGACATACCTAGCTACCCAAACTGCTCGGCGTTCAGCCCGTGTCCAGTGCAAGAGCAGGAAACTTTGCGGCACAGTCCGGCATGGTTCGGAGCGAGCCCAACACACAACCCAAGCCCCACCCCCTAAACTCCTCGTACTTCTCAAGAACGAGGAAACCCCTAAAGCCCCTTATTTACAGCCCCAAAAAGCCCTCTAGATCCTCTCAGCCCCCAAGGACCTTCGAGGGGGGCTTTTGCTTCAAAATGCTGGACACTTAACCTCTCCCCGAATATTCAATACTCCCAGTACAGTTGTATTGGAGTATATGGGGGGGGAATTTAATATTTGGTGGCGGGGGAGTTAATTATAATATTGGGGGGAAGGGATTAAGCTCGAATCTTAGAATGCTTAAGCCAGAATGCCAGGGAGCGTTCTTCAGCAACACCTTCCGCACTCCAAGCAAGAAGCTCGTAGACTAAGCCCTAACAGACCACCGAAAGGTCTAACAAAAAGGATGCCTTTCTTAAAGGCTTAGTCCTCCTCATATGCAAAGAAAGCAAGCACTCTCCCCCCAAGACCGATGGGCTTTTGTTCTGCCGCCTGTGCAAAAGGAGTCTGTCTCACGCATCGCATGATCGCTTGCCGAAAAAATGCAACTGGAAAACTCGTACTGGATTTTTTTTGGTGAGACTTGGTTTGACCGTCTCAGATCGACTTCTTCAGCCACGCCGGCACGTGCTCCCCCGCCTCCACGTAGCTGGCTCCATCCCCTTCAATGCCCGCCTCATACTTCTTGTAGGGGAAGTCGTTCACCTCTTCAGGGGCGGCACAGCACGTGCGTTCGCGTGAAATGAAGCCCGAAGTCTCAAACAAAAGCCGCACCACAAGTGCCAGGCCCCGAACCCCCCGCGCGATCTCGCGCTAAGGTTGAGGGTTTACAGGGGCTTGTGGGTGTTAGGGTTCAGGCCGCATGCCGCGTGTTGCCCCCCCAAACTGGGAGCTCCTGCCAAATCACGATGTACCCCCCTTTCCTGCTTGGCATGTGCTCTGAAGGTCTGAAAGAAACTCTGACGAGGTCCAAAACCTTCCTCCAGAAGGGACCGGACTCGGACGCTAGGGGTTTTGAAGATCGGTTGTCCTGAAAACGCTTCTATGGCCTCAAGGCCTGTTGCAACTTCCGGTGACTTGCCTAGGAAACTCTCTCGACTTCTTGGCGAATACCCAACCCTACAAGGGAAACTCTCAACAGCCTCACCCCAAGATTTTTCCGGCGCCTCGCCGTCGAAAGGATCTGCCAAGGCCGCGTTGACGAGCCTGTGGGCCACGGTATCTTCGAGGCTTTGGGCTTGGGATTGTTGAGAACTTCCGGGTTTTGAGTTCTTGGCTTCGGGACTTCTGGGTTCTTGAAACCCTTAAACCCTTAAACCCTTCAACCCTTGAACCCTTAAACCCTTAAACCCTTAAACCCTTAAACCCAAATGCAGGCAAGGAACAGGATGGCGTTGTAGAGGAGTGGGATGAAGAACGCCTGGCGCACTCAAAGGAGGCATTCTGAAGGGCTTCGTGCCCAAGGTTTAGGGTTTAGGATTTAGGGTTGAGGGTTTAGGGTTTAGGGTTTATGGTTTAGGGTTTAGAGTGTAGGAGGCTTGGGTTTGGGATGTAGGGGCTGGGGTTTAGAGGGCTCGCAGGTCTTTGAAATGGTGAACTTCCAAGACGCTTCTGAGCCTCGAGAGCAGTGAAGCACCACACCTTCCAAATAATTATCCATCTTCATCATCATAATCATCATCACCATCACCATCGTCATCATCACAAGTACATTGTCGCCATGATCATCCTAACAATACACATACTCACATACATACATGCCCCGCAAGTCGTGGGTTTAAAGGTTAACTTTTCGCTGGTCGCGGCGTTAGACAAGACGCTTCAATCCAGTATCATGTCTTCATAGCCCTGTGACTTGTCGGGTTTAACCCTAAACCCTAAACCCTAAACCCAAATCCGAATTTTGGTTTGACAACAAAAGAAGGCCTTGATACTCAGCAGCCAGCAGGTGAACCGGCTGTCCTCCCATCTCTACTTTTGAGCCATCCCACACCCTAAGCCCTAAACCACAAAACCCAGACCCCGTAAACCCTAAGCCCTAAGGCGAAACGCTCAACACCCCACAAACCCAAAACTCGAGGCGCTCTACATAAACCCTATACACCCTAAGTCCAAAAAGACCCTGTCCCGATAGACCTCCAAGCCCTAAACCACACCATCCACCTTCAGGGCGTTTCGGGTTTAGGGTTTAGGGTTTAGGGCTGCCGTTGTTGCTGCTGTTTGGGTTTTTGGTATTTCTGGGATGGCGGCTTTTGTTGTTTGGATTTATGCTGTAGGCGACAGGGCTTTGAAGGTAGGGGGGGGGGGGGGGGGGGGGGGGTGTTGGGGGGTTTAGGGGGTGCTCAGGCCCCGTTGAGAATTCGTGGGTACCTAACGCCCTAAACCCTAAACCTTAAAGGATACCCTGAAGGACCCCTTAAGACGACGGCAACTGGGATCCTCGGGTCCTCCCAGGAGGACCCGAGGATGAAGCCCAAGGTGACGCCGAGGACGGCGTTGTGGATCTTCACCAAGACGCCCATGAGGTGTATGTACCTTTCTTGATTCTTGTTGCTCGATTTTTTGTTTTGTTGTTCCTTTCTTTGTTTTTCTGTTCTTTTCTTTTGTTCCGGGTTTTTAGAGGGTTTTGAAGAGGGGGTTTCAAGGGTTTGTAGAGGGTTCGTAGGGTTATAGGGGTTAGGATTGTCGAGAAGGTGTTTAGGATGTTCAGTGCCATCACTCTGCGCAATTTGGGTGTTTCCCAGATTAGGTGACTAGGCGTACCCTATTGGAGTCCTTATGATAATGGAATCCTACTATTTGGGGTGTATTATATAGGGGTCCCTTATGTTCGTAAACTCCCATTTTTTTGGGAATGCCCCTCTGAGTCGCACGCCCAGGATGCTGTATGGAAAGTCTGCAATTCCTGCTATCTTCCTGCCATTCTTGGGGTTCCCTGTGTGCGGCTCCCATTAAAGTCCTTTTTACAAACGGGTCCAAACATAGCTGACATCCTGCAGACGCAAAAAAAAAGCGACAGAGAAGCCATCACTTATAGACAAGGCAAAAGAGGCTGCTTTCAGCACGATCTGCCAACCCAACTTAACCAAGCCAAAAACTTCAAACCGAACAAACTGCACTACCACGAGGCACTGAGTGCCCTAAACCCTAAACCCTAAACCCTAAGCCCTAAACCCTAAAGCCGAAACCCTCATTCTCGACCCCCCAAAGCAGCCCTCTCATCCCTGTCATCCCTCAACTGCAGAGCAGTGGGCGGCAAAGGGATGGGGGTTCCCATCTGCGCGCCAATCAGTGCCGCGCCGCCACGACCAAGGTTGACCCGCTCCATAAGGAAGTTGAGCATCACCTCTCTCTCTCTTTCACACCTCCTCCCTCCCTTTAGGTACCCCTGTCAGCCCCTTTGTGTACGAGATTCCAATGCAATCCAGTTCACAATCCAAGCCGCCCTCGTGCTCTCAGGGAGAAGCAGTTGAAAGCTGAGGTGGGCTTTTGGGGCTTTGAAGGTTTCAACGCTCCAGGGTGGGACAGTCTGGGCGTTTAGTTTAGGGTTGAGCTTCAAGATCTCTGTTTAGAGTTTAGGTCTTAGGGTTTTAGGATAACTCCTGAGTTTAGGGTAACTTCTGGGTAAACGGTTAACTTCTGGGTGCAAGGGGTAGGGCTCCCACCTCTCCTTTGATCTTCCCCTTCTTGTCAAGGTCAGCCACGATGTGTGCAATCCAGGTCCAAATGCTCTCCGCCAGATTGTTGTTGTACCTTCGAAGCTGCTCCACCTGGGGCATGCTCCTAGAGGTGTGGTTTAGGGTTTTGGGTTTGGAGGGTTTGGGGTTTAGGGCTTAGGGTAAGTTTAGTTTAGGGTTTGGGGTTTAGGGTTTAGGGGCTTGCCCCTGAAGATGAGAAGCTGAGCCGCCCGCCTCGTCCTCATAGAGGATACCCTCCTTGACCAACAGCTCCAGCTTCTGCGGCAGGTTCTGGGCTCCAAAGCGCCTCTTCATGAAGATGATCGCCAGGGAGGCGCGTGCGTAGCGACGCACGGCTTGCAGGAGCTGCTTGTCCTGGGTGACGAACTGCGACAGGAACAAGTTCAACTGGGAGGTCGCCGACCAGATGTTTCCGATGCCATCCTGCAAAAAGAGCACTTCGGGCTTTCGGGGCTTTCTGGGCTGTAGGGTAATGGTTCTTGCTGGCTTTTCTGTACTTATTGCTTTGGGGGCGAAAACGTAGGACTGTCAGAGCCCCTGAACCTGCTGACCCCAACTTCAGGGGCATCTGTCAACCCGGGGCACAACCCTGAAGAATTATGGGCCCTGTAGGCTTTAAAGTTTAAGGTTTGGGGCCTCGGCGCCCTGAAGCACCGCAAAAACACCATTGAAACCAGAAACCCCTAAATATCTTTAACCCCCTGGACCCTAGAAAACCCTAACCCGCCCCAGTGCCCTAAACCCCTAAAATCCCCTAAGCAGTAAAACCCCCCATAAAGAGCCCTACAGCTTTCCCTAAGCCCCAAACCTTGAACCCGAAACCCTGAACCCAAAACCCTGAACCCTAAACCCTAAACCCCAAACCCTAAACCCTAAACCCTAAACCCTAAACCCTAAACCCTAAACCCTGAACCCTGAACCCGAAGCCGTAAACCCTAAACAGAAGAAAACCCTTGAGCCGAGGGACGGTTCGTAGGCGCCACCAGCGGCTGACAGTCAGGGAAGTGTAGAAGCCTAACCTGACTTCGAGTTTAGGATTTGGGGTTTAGGGTTTAGGGTTTAGGGTTTAGGGTTTAGGGTTTAGGGTTAGGGTTTTAGGGGATTTGAAGGGCTTTCTGGGGTTTTTTGAAGGGTTTTCTTGTTGAAGGCCTTTTTCGGGTTTGAAGGGCTTTCGAGGGTTTTTAGAGGCTTCTTTTAAGGGCATGTTTAGTGTTTGTGAAGGGTTTTGCTAAGGGCTTTTTGGGGTGTTTAAGGGCCTGCTTAGGGTCCTTGAAGGGTTGTGTTAACGGCTGTTTAAGGTTTTGGAGGTTTTCGAGTTTGTGTGGGCTTTTTGGGGTTTATATAGTAGGGTCTAGGTTTGCGATGGGAGGGTTTAGGGGAGTAATGTATCCAGGACTTAAGGTAGCTGCTCTTGAACTGGGGGGGGTGGGGGGGGCAGCTTTTCTTTCTGTAACAAGGTAACTGATGACTTATAACAGAAAAGAGTTTGCCCACCCTCCTCTAGGAGCAAGAAAGCCGCCAAAGTTGCCATCTTGTCGGCCAATCCGGCCGCATCTTTCTCAGCAGCCTCCGGAGATAGCTGAAGGATTCAGGCGTCCCGCATCCGAGGATCGGTTCCTTCACCCCCCAAAAACCTCAACCAACCCACGCGCCACCCCTCGCCGAAACCCTACTTTCCCTAAGCCCGGAACTCGGAGGCCTGAAGCCTCAACCCTATGTCCACCCTCCAGCGCCTTATCCTCGAATCCACATTCACGGACGATGACGGCTGTGGCGACGTAGACGCCTGGCATGGGGGGCTAGGAAAGGGTTGGCCCCTTTTTTGCCTCAGTTTTTCTGGGCTGCTTCGAAAAACTCGGCTTCAAGGCAGCCGACATCCCTGCATATCAAAAAAAACTATGTCTCCTATAATCGTGCTTGCATTGTCTGTATGTTATACAGTATATACTGCATATACTTCATGGTATCATGTATATCCCAAAAACTGTGTGCATATATATGTACATATATATATATATATATATTGCTGCAGCCGACGCCTAGCACTAGGATCTGCTCCACCCAGAGAATGCCGCTGTAGAAAACTGTGCCTGGCAGCCATAGGTGACTTCGTGGTTCAAAGGAGGAGGGCCTAAGCTCATAGAGGTCCGAGGGGGGGTTTAGGAAATGATCTTACTCTTGCTTAGTCCTTAGTTGATCCCCCAAAAAGTCCCTTATGAAAGTCTACGGCTCAGCTTGCTGAGTTGGAACCACTAAACCACCAAACCCTATATGATATGTCCAAACACTTGCGAACCCCCCACCTTTCCATGTGAAAAGCACCATAATCGTGGAAAGCCGCGTAGCCTCATAATCAACCACGTAATGCCTGGCTTGCGGGCGCCGGCTTCGCATGTGGCGACAGTTGAGGACTTAGAATGCTTCCCACGGCTTCAATCGAAGGTCCCGGCATACTTGGCCAACCGATTGCACCCAACATTCTGCCGAAGTTTCTACCCCGAGATACTTTCCGGCCGTGATGGCGGAGTCTTTGGCCTCGTACGCACTTGCCAGCAGATCCGTTTCAATCTCCGAGTCCGTTATGCTGTCGGAAGCGGATGCCATGGCGTACCGAAACCCAATGGGACTCTATAGGATTCGCTGCACTAGCATGATAGAGCCTCCTAGATGGCAGGGAGCTTGGGTATGGGGGTTTTGGGGGTTGCGGGATGGCTTTGGCTGCACAGTTGCTCTCGCGGCTTGTCCCGGACACATGGATCAAGCCTCTTCTCAAGCCGGGAAGCGCATGGAGCACCATGGAATACCATGGAGTACCCCTAAACTCCCAACATTTTTTCGTTCAGATTGCGGTTTACAGATAAAGCGCCCAAGCCCTGCCCCAACAAACTGAGAACCGCACCGAAAGGCACTCGAGTTTGAACATGTACCAAATCTTACATCTCTACGCTCATCCTGAACCCTTGAAAACATTAAAGCACAAGGGCCGAGCATCAAAGAGCAGGAAACGACAAAGGGGTAAGCCTGCCCTACTGGGGCCCCATTCCACGGCAAACGCACTCCTATGATGCCAAGCCTCTTGCGTCCTTGCATATCTGCATAGCCTTCCTCGCGCTCTTGCGGAAAGCGGCACATGAATAAACCCTCTTCGCTGGCGGGGAGAACCTAAACAAACGTTCTTACGTTCGCGGTTTGCACTGGCTGCTTTTTCCTGTCCGTTCCGTGCGGCTCTCGAAAGGCGTGGCTAGCTGGCTTAGCTGTCGGGGTTGAGCTTCTTGAAGGCTTCTACAGCAGCCTGCATGTTCGCCTCGCTTCCGAAAAGTGTGGGGGCCCGACGTTGGAAGACCTCTTGCGCAAAGTTGTAAATGGCCGTGCTCTTCTCTGCAACGGCCGTGGCCAAGGCCCGCTCCTCTTCGGTCCAGTCGAGCTTATTGTCACTGTTATCAAAAACTTCTGGCACACTTCTTCGGAACATGGCAGCTAACTGCAAAGGTGTCAGGCCGTAGAGCTTGCCAAGGCTCACCAAGCTTTCGTCTAGCCTCTCGGTGATGCCAACTAGGTCGAACTGCGTAGCAAGAGTAAGCTTTGCTGCCTCGATCGAGCCATCCCCCAGCCAAGTCTCGTACTCACAGCACGAGCGCAAGAGGATGGACATGGAGGTGGATCCAGCATCCGCATTTGAAGCCTGTTGTTGAAATTGCTCATGTGACCAGTTGCCGGTCACGAAATCCCTGCGGAACTCCAACCAGGACTTGAAACCTTGATGTGAAGCAGCCAGGTTCCCTTGATCAGAACTGGAAGCTGCGGAGAAGCCGTTCCCGCCAAAGTAATAAAAAGAACGAAGTCTCTCGGTGGGCTCGCGGAGGATCGTCGTCACGAGTAGGCGCTTTTGATGCAAGTCTGAGGGCAACCAAGAACGGGCCCACTCCACTTCCTAGTGCATGGCTGGGATAAGATTAAAAATTTAAATGTATATTCCTTAGTGGATTTAAGTACCCTTAAAGATGTAAAATGGTACCCAACTATGACAGAGCTTCCGACAGCAGCCTTAAGCGTTCCGAGCTCGGCCACAGGTTCTGCGCATCGGCCATGTCCGATGTCAGGGTGCTTATGTTCTGACCCGAAACGGCCTGGCGCATCACAGCCATGCCCGTGTGGAAGGTGCAGCTGTGTGCAATCCCAGAGCAGGACTTATTCTTCCCAGGCTGTTGGCTGCACCACTCAAACTTCGCAGCATCATGGGGGTACCGCTGCTGACAGTCCCAGACAGGGTTCCCGCAATCCTTGCTACAAGAGTTGTCTTGGTGAGAGATGAGGTCAATGTAGGCTCGCCATGTGCTGCCAGCCACCTTGTGGAACTTCACAAACAGGGAAGAAGTTGAGTCGCCACTGAGGGAACTGATGGAATCCTGGGCGTCCCTCTCTTCCAGCTTCAGTGTGTGCTGCAGGAGGCTGAGCTTGGGTGTGCACTCTGCTAAACTGAAGCAGGCCAAGCAGGCAACTTGGAGGAATACATGGAGGAACGGTACGTAGATCATGTAAGGCAGGCTCAACAAGGGATGAGAGCCGCAAAGGCTGCAAAAAGCTGCAAAGGTCATCATGTGCACGATGTGCGATGTGATTGATCGTGCCTGATAAGAAGTATGGTTTAAGTTACTCATATCTCCACTCGGCCTTTCGCAGTGGGGCTTCAACGGGCCCATCGCGCCAAGATGACTTGGTGAACCGACCGAGTCTTCCGGAAGCGACTTGGCGCGACTGGACAAAGCGCTGGTTGGAAGCGTTTACAAATCGAGGTGGATGGTCTAGAGTTTAGACTTCTGGGACATGCCCTCTCTGTCGCTCTGATCCCACAACCAGGTCTCAAATACCACAGACGATGCAGAGCCCTTGTAGGCTGACAGTCAGAGGACGTGTGGTTTCCACATGGGGCTACTATGGCGCTACGATGGTTTGGATCCTGAGGCCTCGGGGCTTTAGCTGGGCTCAGGCAGAAGCATCCAACACCCCCAACATTCTCACCCTCACAAGGGCCTCTTTGGCAACTGGCTGGCAACTTTGCTCGGCACACCTTGCTCATCCTTGCTAGTGTAGCACCTCCTCCAGGGCTTGGGGCATCGGATGAAGCTAGGATGTAAAAAGGGCTTCGAGAGCTCTCCACATGATGCGCGAGGCTCAGGTCGAAACGAGTTTCGTTGTTCAGTTTTGGGTCTCCATTCAGACATGGGACCCATATGCTTAAAAGCGCGGGGGTGCTTCTGGCTGCAGATGTAGAGTCCCTCGGCCCTTCCGAAAAGTTGCTCTCTCGCTGTCGCCAGTTGAGATGCGAAGCGTGCCATTGGAAAGCCAGTGCTCAAGGACTCGCTGTGTACGAGTCTCACTTCAAGGGCCCTGACTGCGGTTCTGGGGTGAAAACAAAGCTTCGTGGCACCCTGCTGGTGAAGGAGCCACGCACGTCACTCTGAGACCACATTTCCAAAGAAATCTGTCTGAGAATTGAAAACGTAAAAAGAGTTTAAGCCCGCCACCCAATAATGCTGCGCGTCCTCAATTTTTTGAGTTTGGGGTGATGAGGGCTTGGGGTTGAGGTTGCAGGGTTGAACCAGGTGGGCTCGAAATGTTTTTCGAGCCTAGAGTTGGGAATGCACGGGCTGCAGGATGTCAGCAGTGCCCCAGAAGGAGAGTTCACTTCCTCAGTGTGACGTCTCTGCGTTCGCAACACCAAGTTGAGAGTGGTTTCCAGAGCCCCTCTGCGTTAGTCAGCTTACACTTTTACTCACAGCCCTGGATCCGAAAACTTAAGGCTCTACATGACAGGCGTGCAAAGTCAAATCTGCAGCCTGCACAACCTTGCAGGCTTGAACCCTGCAATTCGAAGCATCCCCCACGAGCCCTGCGACATGAACCTCTGAACCTTTCGGTCCCGTTAAGGACTCAGGTGTTCGAGTTCAGGGCTTCAGGATGCATGGTGGGTTGCTTGACAGGTTGTTTTTTGGGAAGGGTGCTTTGGGTGGGCGGAACAGGCTTTCAGGCCTTTGGTGGCTTCTTTTGCCATCCAAAAACCGTCCAACCAAGCACGCAACTCCGGAAACGAATCGAACCACGAAATCACATGCAGAGCTCAACACCACAAAGTCAAACTGCACAATCGCGTTTTTGCAAACGGTGTCCGTGTTCAAAGGCTCGGTCATACAATGTACAAGTAGTTTACTTGCAACAGCCTTTTATTACAACCGTGCCCAACAAACCGGCAAGATACTGAAATCCTGCCACATCTGCGCTTTCGTGCCGGATGACAACAGCGACAACTGAGGGGTGCAGGACGCCTCCAAAGACCTCCTCGGCCCCGACCCGAGGTGGCGGCATCTTCACCACCTGTGCCACCGCCTGTGGAGCCACCAACAAAGCCGCTGCCGAGGGTTCCGAGAGCGTGGTGGGCAATCGGCTTGTACCCGAACAAGATATCGACTACGTCGCGCTTACCCATACTTTCGCTTCATGTCTGTACTAGACATGGCGCAGCATTGCTCTGGGTGTCGGGCAGCTGAATGATCAGTGGTCTCACCTCGCTGGCGTTGCGTTAAGTTGTCGTGCAATTAGGTCTCTGCACTTGCGGTTGCTTCTTTGTAGTCACGCTCCTTTTTACGCTCGCTGGCAGTTTTGACTTTCTAAGTAGATGTCACCCTGAGTGGAAAGTCCCACAAGATCGGCCTACTGTGCTACTGATGTAGTAAAGAGGCGCCCGTTCAAAAAAAAAAAAAACCTCCTCCTCCGGAGTGCCACGCCTTCGGTGAGGGCATGGCAACCGCAGGGATGCCCTATGGCACCACTGACGACGATGCCGCATCCATGCATGGGAGTGCGTCCGGCTAGTGCAGCAAAGTACCTGGGAGGTCCGGGCCGGACGTCTCAATTCTTGACATAAGTTCCGACGCCAAATTCAGCGCCACAAAAGCTTCTTTGCCATCTTCGCACTGCGCGCCAAGATAGAAAGACCTGAGTTCAAGCAATCAACACTGAAAAAAGGCATCCGAGTGATATGTGGGCGGAGTCGGTGGAGTTCGTGTAACCGGAGTCGGCGGGGTCCTTCCAAGATGGAATTCCCCTTAGAACGGCAGCGGAGTCGAGGTGAGCCCGTTTTTAAATATACAATGGTTTCTAAAACCGGGGAAGACACGACCCCGCTACATGTGTACCATCCCTCGTGCACCAATGCTGCAACATCTACGCTGAGATTCTATGCGGTTCTAACATTTATTATCCAGCCACTGCATCTCGAGCATCAATGAAATCCTTCCACATACAAGAGACCTAAGGCCGCGGAGAATATTCCTTCAGAAAATACCGATACCTGAGTCACTCTGTTTTGGCGGTAAGACATTGCAGCATGAAGTTCGAATCTAAACAAGGACAGCATGCTTGCAATGTGAGCAAAAGACAATTCCCCCATAAAGGTACAACACCATCACAAAATACATTGACTCTCACATTGGCTAGCAGCCATCGCATCCAGCGTCACGCGTTCGCACAGAAGATTGCACAAATTAAGAGTCGGGAAACGAGGCCTATCCCGAGGCAAAAGAGCACAACAAAGCACTCCTCAACAAAGGGATGGGCGGGTGGGCAAAAAAGTTCAACTCTCTCCCAACCGACCCAAAGGGTCCGGTCGCTTGAGATGCAAAAGTGGCTGGATATGCAGACACAACACCAAAGTTGCAACAAGGCAGTCGTTGAAATAACTGTTAAAACAATTTTGAGCAAGCACAAAAACCGGTCTAACATTTATTATCCAGCCACTGCATCTCGAGCATCAATGAAAGCCTTCCACATACAAGAGACCTAAGGCCGCGGAGAATATTCCTTCAGAAATACCGACACCCCAAGCTAAACAAGGACAGCATGCTTGCAATGTGAGCAAAAGACAATTTCCAAAGATCATAACTGCCAAATACAGAAGCGACTCAGGATCGCCCAAACATTACCAAGGAAACTAAGTCAGTAACTAAGTGATGCCTGAGGCACAATGGACAGGTTGCGGCAGATGGCAATCAATCCCTCCGCAGGACCAATCCCCACGGGGGAAGGCAAGGAGCCACCGCGTGCCGTGGTTCGGAACCAAGCCCAGGAAAGCGTGTTTGCGCAAATCACAGGCGATCTCAAAAGCAGGCTCACTCGGAAAGAGACGGACTCCATCTCAGCCACCACCCCAGGTAAGTTTTGAGCAAGAGGAAGCATCCTTAGGGCTTCATGCCTGGACGGCAAGATGGCATGGCACACGAGTCAAGGTTCCACTCATCCATCCCAGCGGCTCAACCAGTCAACTCGACTGAATCTAACTTGAATCTGAGCAGGGCGGTGATGCCGCAGCAAAAGATGTTCCAGGAATTCCTGTGACTCCAGCTGGTCAGACAGCCAACATGCAGCAGCCTGCATTGCTGCAGGATGAGACATCCTCGGTAAAAAAAGATGCTGATGTAGGATGCCCCAAGAAGTGGAATCCGCCTTCTTGGTGAGCCCCCCTTTAAGCCCCCCCCCCCCTTTAAAATTTACCTTTTAGCCCCCTTCAAAGCCCCCTTGAAGCCCCTTTAAGCCCCCCTTTAAGCCCCTCCTTAAAACCCCCCTTTAAGCCCCCTTCAAGCCCCCCCTTAAGCCCCCCCTTAAGCCCCCCTTAAGCCCCCCCTTAAGCCCCCCCTTAAGCCCCCCTCAAGCCCCCCCTTAAGCCCCCCCCTTTAAGCCCCCTTTAAAGCCCTTCAAAGGGTCTTCTCCAAAGCCCCTTAAGCCCCCCCTTAAGCCCCCCCCCCTTAAGCCCCCCCTTAAGCCCCCCTTTGAGCAAAGGTGATGGACCCATCAAGACAAGATTCGAGGAAGGTGGAATTTGCAGAATAAATCGCTTCTCTCTCTTTATAAGACGATTAACGTTGAGAGCTCACCCGCTCACCCCCCTAATCCGAGCATCTGATTAATTAATACCCCCACATTTAAAGAAATTTTTTTTGGCCGGAAGCCCGCCGGAAGACTACTTTCCATTAGGGTGGATTTCGTATGGGACAAACCCCCCACATTTAAAGGAATTTTTTTGGGGGGGGTTGCAAAAATTCGAAACTGTGAAACATCCGCTAAGGCTGCACCTGCTGTAGGAGGAAGCTTTCACTTCAGGGGCTACACTTCAGGGGCTACAGCAAAAGGAGCACCTATGTCTCTGGCTCTGCTGCAGGCTCAGGCTGCACCGGATCTGCAGGGAGGTCCTGCAGGAAGCTTCACTTCGGGGTCCACACTGCAGGGGCTACAGCAAAACGAGCCTGCACCTGTGTCGCTATCTCTTCAAGCTCCACCGGATCTGCAGGGAGGTCCTGCCGAAAGCTTCACCTTGGGGGCCACACTTCAGGGGCTACAGCAAAAAGAGTCTGCACCTGTGTCGCCGGCTCTGTTGCTGCAGGCTGCACCGCATCTGCAGGAAGGTCCTGCAGGAAGCTTCACTTCGGGGTCCACACTGCAGGAGCTACAGCAAAACGAGCCTGCACCTGTGTCGCTGGCTCTTCAGGCTGCACCGGATCTGCAGGGAGGTCCTGCAGAAAGTTTCACTTCGGGGGCCACACTTCAGGGGCTACAGCAGTGTGTGTCTGCCTGTGTCTCTGCAGGTGCTGGAGCTAGTGCTGCATCTGCAAGGGACTTCTGCTGCGGTGCTTTCGCCTGCTTGTCTCCATATGCTGCAAGCTGTGCAGCCCTCTGCACCTTGCTTCGCTGGTACAGCACTGCACCACTGGCTCCATACATGTGCTCCACGTCGAAGCCTTCCTTCTTCAGCCAGTACCTGGTGGCCTTCTATTTGCTGCAGGAGAGGCAGCCATCTCCTGTTCTGCATCTTGAGCAGGTGCCTCCAGTGTACCCCTCCAGGATCTTCAGGACCTGGCACTGCCCGTCTGCAGTGAGGTTCTCGAAGCACGGCTTGCCTGCAGGGTCCTTCAGAAGGGATTCTGCAGCTTTCTCTGCAAGGTCCTTCATGTCGCCCTCCTTCTTCTTCTTTTTGGCTGCAGCCAGCTTTGCCTTCGCTTCAGCCAGAATCTGCTTCTTTTGGGCCTTCAGCTTGGCTTCGTCGATCTTGCCCTGCTCCTTCTGCAGAGCTTTGCAAAGCGACTGCAATCTCGCAGCCCAAGTCGCTGCAGTGGGCCAGACAAGGCTGCGACCGCCCAAGTGGCTCCTGCACCTCTGCTCCACCCAGTGCAGGCAGTACGAGCCGCACTGGCCCGTGCCTGCAGGTTGGCGAGCTGCATTGGCTCTTGCGGGCAGGTGCACCCCTGGCAGCAAGGTCTCCAGGAAGAACTCTGCCACCTGTCGAGAGGCTGCCGACTCCACCTGCAGGCTGTCGTAGTACTTCACCTGCAGAGAGCCAAGTCTGCAAATCTCCACGAGGGTCCAGTGGTGGCCGGCGAAGATCGGCACGAACACCAAGTCCTTCTGCAACTCTGCCTCCAAGAATGCTCTCCTTCGCTGCTGCATTTCTCCGGCTGCCTGAGGCCACTCTTTATCTCCCAATCCCTCCAGATTGGTTGTCGGATCTGCAAGTGCGATAAAGGACTGCACCACTTCTGGCCTCAGAAAGCTCACGGAAGCGGCCTTCAAGCCTGGGAGACTCCATTGAAGGAACAGCCAGGCTACAGTCATGCGCTGGTCCAGCAACCAGCTGCCATCTGCTCGTGGCACCTCCACATCGTCTCCAAGGTCGTCTCCAAGAGTCTTTGAGGCAGCTTCACGAAGCCACATCTGCATGTCTGACCGCTTCACAGACTGCAAGGTCAGCATCTTCAGGTCTGGCAAGATGCTGGTCTGCTCCAGGAACTCCCTTCTAAGGCCTGCAAGCCAGGCTGCAGGTCGACGTTGAGCAGCTCAGCGCTGCTCTGCCAAGCCGACACTGCCACCACACCTGTTCTGCCGTAGTACTGCTTTCCTGCATGCTCCAAGCAAACCGTCACCTGCACTTTCTCCTCTGCTGGGTCTAAGGGCTCGGCTGCAGGCAGGGCCGGCAACTCGGACTCCAACTGCTTCAAAGCCTCTTTGCCGGCCTTCAGGACCGTCTTCTTCTTGTGGCCCTTCTTCAGAGACTTCTCCAAGGCCTGCCTCCAAAGCTTGCCTTTGCCTCCAGCGACTTCAACTGCTTCTTCAGCTTCGGTCTTCTTCTCGTTATTCTTCTGCTGCTTCTTCTGCTTCTTGCTCTTCTTCTGAAGGCTTTCGCCTCATCCTTCAAGGCTTTCTGCTGCTCCTTGGTGGGTCTGCCGACCCCCAAGCGACGGCTGCATTTTGGCTGCTTAAGCTTCCCAGCCTGGTCTTTCCTGCAGTAGGCACCATGCTCTTCAGAAGCTCGCTTCTGTTGTGCGTCTTCCGCAACTCCTGCACTGCCTCTTTGGCTGCCTTCAGCTCCTTGCGCTTCCTCTTCTTCTTCACCCTGTTCTTGGCCTGCTGCTTCTGGGCTGGCTGTCGCTCGTCTTCTCCAGGATGCAAGGCTGCTCTCTTCAGCCTCCTCTGCACTTTGGGGTCGAGACTCTGGAAGTAAGGCAGGGCCTGCAGCAGAACTTCCTCTTCCAGTTCTTCAACTTCGACTTCAAGGTGCGTCTCCAGCAACTTCTCACCATTGAATCTGGCTCTGCTGTAGTACGAAACTTTTCCACTTCAAGCAAAAGCGCCTGTGTCATTGCACACTCGATGGAAAACATGATGTGCCCAAGTAAAATCACTTTGGGGTAAAACAGGGGTGTGCTACTGTACTTTCGCCTTTTGCACCCCTCCTTAGGACATTCGTCGTACAGACGAGTGTACTACAGAATCTGTCCAAAATCTATACAGGGAAAACTGCCACCACTAGCATTCTCGGTAGAACTCGAGAGAAACTTCAAACACATATCCACAGATTTCAAATCCCTGTGCATCTTCCCCATTCGAGGATGGAAACAGTTGGACTTGCAATCTTTCAAGTTTAAACACGACTCAAAGTCGCACACGTCTCGCATCTAGCTTCACAGCACAGTTGGGCTCGCAGTTGCATCTCAGGTCATCTCACTCCATCTGGGTCCTCATCACGGGTTGCATTGCCTGCATCCTTCGTATCCTTCACGGACTGCTTGCTCTCGAGTGAGCAACCGAACATGTCGCCCATCACGATGTGCCTTCCGGACCATTCCACACGTCTGACTATGGAACCGCAGGCCTGTGTTGCCAATCAGTGCCACTTGTCTCTGATTCCACCCGTGTCCACCTTGATGCACAGGTTGAGCTTGTACTCGAACTTGGGGTTCATCTTGCCGTCGAGGTTCACCTGCTCGAAGAGGTTCATCCGGTCGTCGATGTTCATCTGGACGTCGAGGTTCATCTGGTAGTCGAGGTTCATCTGGTAGTCGAGGTTCATCTGGTCGTCGAGGTTCATCTGGTAGTCGAGGTTCATCTGGTCGTCGAGGTTCATCTGGTAGTCGAGGTTCATCTGGTCCACATAGCGGTGGTTCCCCTTCCTCATCTGGCTCATGTTCCCATTCCTCTTCATCTTCTGTTTGATCAGTCGTCGTCGCCATCCTCTGTAGGTCTCCAAGTCGCCTTTCCTTCCATGCCATTTGCCATACCATGTACAGCACGGTCATCAGGATCACCAAACCCGCAGCCACCAGGAGAACACCTCCCCATTGGTTGACTTTGATCTCCAGGCTCAAGGCGCTCATAATCGTGATGCCACTTTGCTCAAGCTCACGATCTCTTCCAAAGGCTTCTGCTCCATTCGCGGTTCTCATTGCATCCATCATCACCAGCAAACGAATCACCTTGGCATTCATCTGCTCGTACTTCTGCTTGTCTCTGCTCAAACACTCGAAGCCACCATAGCCCAGGCGAGACATCAGAAATCCATAGCGTTCTGAGCTTAGCGCCTTTGTACCTATGTCGGCAGTATTTAGGTACGTGGATACTGTTCCCAGTTCCAAGGTTCCCCTCGAAGTTTCCCTCTGTACCCATAGCAGTTTCGTTTCCAGATGACGCACTTTCGACACGCCACGCTTTTGGAGCAATGATCGGGCGCTAGACGAGTCTAGCCGGCATAACAACCGACAGGGTGTGCTTGAAAGCGTCTTGATCACGTGCCCAACATACATCAGTTCTGCTGCCGTGGAACAACATGCCATGAGCTCTGCTTCGCATGACGACAGAGAAATCGAGCCTTGCTTCCTCACGAAGCTGAAGGTCGCGTTCCCATTCAAGTAGACGTGGCCACACGTCGATGACACCCTCGTCCAATGTCCAGCCCAGTCACTATCGCTCATGCCCTCAACCAAATCAGGTTTGCCACTGTTCTCTACTTGCAGCCTTGTTGCCTCCTCTCGACTGAGCTTTCTCTCATCCAAACTTGACCTTCCCGGATACGTCCATGCCAACGTGAGACACACATCGGCTGTGGCCAACAGGTACTCTGCTAGGTGACAGGCATGCTTCCACATGCGCTTCGTTGGCCGACTCATCGACCTTGCCAAGTGCGCGATGGTCCATTGGGCATCTGGTCTATCTGGGCTGAGGTACAAGAAGCTTCCGACTGCCGCTCTGAACTTCGAAGCCTCCAACTCCTGCAAGGGCTCTGATTCATCCATCTTGGCAATCTCTGGACTGCACGGTGTTTTCCTTAATCTTGGCCTCTTCAGGTCCAACACACCACAAATCTTCTCCAAGTACTTCTTGTCGACTCGCACCTCAATGCCAGACTCTGTGATTAGCAACTCTTTCTTCAAGAACTTCAGGCTATCACCTATGTTCTTCACGGGTTCTGAGACTTCCAACTTGTACTTCTTCTCCAGGATCTCAGTTACCTTTCGTGTGTTCTCTGGGGTTCCAGCTAGCAAGCCATCATCAACATGAACTGTTGCACCCAAACCTGGCTGTCCAAACGCTGCCGGACATGCTTCATCTGGCACCAAGCCAGCTGTAGCCAGGTCTGCCGCCAGCTGTTCGCCCCACCACGCAGACGCTGCCTGCTGTCCTGGCAAGCAACGATGGACCCTATACGGGAGGCCGTCCAACATCACATAAAGCTCTTGACGCTGCTTCACCTCGAGGAAAGCATCCTTCACATCGAAGCTAACCATCTGCCACCCTGGTCGGGAAACCATGAGGGCCGGCAACAGCTTTGCAATTGATGGATTGGTGCTTGGGGCATACACGTCTGTCCTGTTTGGGTCCCAGATCTTCAGCTGCTTACACACTAATCTCGCCCTTCTCTTCCACTTCGCCTCACGGTACCGCCAGTCCATCACATGCTTCGTCTGCAACAACTCTGCGTTCTCAGGTAAGGACGATACCTGTTCCAACACTCCCATGTCAAGGAGTCGCTTCACTTCGGTCTTCCTGCTCTCAGCATCTACTTGGTCCATCTCGTGTTCCGACAGTTCTGGAGGCCCTTCATTCTCAGTCCTGTTACGCCAAAGCTCCCCCCAATCAATGCTCTCTTCTTCTTCTTCTACCTCAGACCAAATCTCCCACTCTTCCATGTCACCCCACTCCTCTTCTAGGTGCTCATCCAACGTGTAGTACTCAGCATCTGCAACTTTCACGGTTGAAACCCTTGAGGTCTTTGGTGGCGATGAGCTCCCAGCATAAAGTGGAGGTGCATTCAGCGGGACGTTCTTCTCCTCCGGCATCGGTCGCTTTTCTCCACGCTTACCTTCTTCCTTGTCACTTGGTTCGGGCTCAGATCTCTTCTGTCCTGTTCCTGCCTCGATGTCCATCTCTTCTCGCACGCCATCACCAGTTCCGCCTTCCGACGGGGCTGAGCTAGCATGCTGTGACGATGGTGTCGAAACCCCTCCTGGCTCTTCATGGCTAGATTGTCTTGCACCTGCTTCCATCGGCATCACTGGCATGTCCGGTACCACATTCGGCTTTGTCCTGTCTTTCATAGCCGGAATCACGACTTTTCCCAGGCTGCTCAACGAAAACTTGTACGGTTTGCCTTGGAATTCTTTCAGCATATGCTTGCTCCACCTTTCCTGTGGATTCAGCCTCCGGACTGTTGTTGACAGGTACAAACCAAGCGCTGTTCCACACACATGCATGTCGTTCACCAGCGATTTTCCAAGCCACAGGCCTTTCACGAACTTCGGGCGTCCTTTCTTTCGATGGCCTTGACTCAACGCAAACAGGACCACCTCGCCGAAGCATGCCAGCTTCCCATTGTAGGCCAAGCCAAATGCCTTCTCGAACGAAGTCGTTCCAGCTCTGACTGCAAACGTGTTCTGAAGCATTGAGGCATGCACATACGCCCAGCCTGCAATCTCATCTCTCGTCCGAATCTCCGTTCCCGATTGAGCCTTCACCTGTTCCAACAAAGTTGCCGCTAGATCTCGAATGTTCTGAACACACTGCTCTGCCATTCCATTTGTTGCATGCTCATGAGGTTGTGACGGTCTCGCCACGGTCTTCAAACCCAACTTCGTCCTGGAGTGACAAATCATCTTTGTCAAGGCTGTTGCAGAAGGCTCATTGTCCGACCTGATCACCACGCCTTGATATCCCAGATAGGATATGAAGCCTAAGACTTCTTTCGCCGCATACACCAGTGATTGGTCACCTTTCGACTCTAGGGGTATGGCTCTTGACATTCCTGTCGTCTTGTCCACAGCCACCACCACGACCATCGCATCTTTGTCCTTAGGAGCACTTCGCATGAAGTCTAGTTCACCTCCCGTGACATCGGTGTAAAAGAAGTCGAATGCAATGATTGGGTCCCCGCCATCGGTGTCATGTTGTTCTCCATCCTGACGGTGAGCATCTCTCCTTGATCTGCAGCTCACGCAGTAGCTGCACCATTCCTTGAACGGTACATGAGTGAGCTCATGCTCGGCAATCTCATCAGCAGTTGGTTGCTTAGGAAGTCGCTCTCCACGTGGTTGATGTTCATGAGGTTTCGCCGCATTCTCCAGCGCCATCGCATCCTCCAGTGCTCTCTTCTTTGAGTGACTCATCAACCTCTGGAACATAACTTTCTTGGAACCAGACATCCCCAGTCCTAAAGCTTTGCACGCTTCTCGTAGTTCTCGAGCACTCGAATCCTCGTTCAACCGCAGTCCCTCTACTACCACATGGTCTTCTTCTCCACATCCGATCAACATTGGGGCGGGACTTGCGCCCACCTGTTCTTCATGTCCATCTTGATCACATACACCTGGGAGATCGATTGGGCTCATTTGTTCATGCGGATCAGCTACGCTCATCTCTTCGGCATACAGATCAAGATCAACTGGCCAATCTTTCACTTCATCTGCCTCGGAAGTTCCAGCTTCAGCAACGAGCGTTAGGCCGTAGTGATCGGGGTCACCTTTCGTACGATGCATGATGGTGAATATCAGGACTGCTGCATCGCCATGTTCAATCACCTCACTCAGGTTCTCCACGTTTTCCAGGGGCTCCTGGAAGTCCACAAGCTCCCACGCTTCCTGTCTGAACACCAAAGTCGTGCGATACTTCCACAAATGCACTGACATGTCATCTGAAGGATCGAGGCGGACCTTATCTCTCTTCAAGATGCAAGGATCACCACAGTCGAGGAAATTCCACCCTGGAGAAAGTCCGTGGATGTTGAAATGTGGTTGCACTATAATCCGGCCTTCTTTGCTTGCTCGAACACATTCTTCTTCTGGCTCTTTCACCTCATCATCCCGGACCATGAACACTCTGGCATCAACCACAAGGCTATTCCTTCGGAATGAGACCGGCGCTTCTATCTCTTCGGGATCATTGCACAGATGCAGAAGTCCATTCCTATGGTCGAGGCTCCAACCTTTCTTCAGCAATCTCCCTAGTGAGATCAGGGGCGCACCAACATCGGACGCGTAGAACTCCTCTTGGATCATCGCTGGGCCTAGGTCCAAGGTGATCTTCCTGCTACCATGGTTCCTCATCTCTTTCCCTTGGGCGTCGACCATTCGAACTGTTGCACTCGAACCCCTGTCTCCAAGATTCGCTTCCAGCCATGCTCGGGGCATCACACTGAGGTCAGCACCTGAATCCAAGACCACCTCCTGAGGTAGCCCTTCAGAGAGAGCGTTGTAGCCCTCGTCAGACCTGCTGCTGATCCCTCTTACTTCTGCATGCGCAACCCATTCTTCATCTCCAAGCAATGCATCATCTAAGCTCATGTCCACGACGCTGTACGTCTCCCAAGCAAAGTCGATGACTTCCAGTTCATCCTCACCATCAACCATAGAATGTTCGATCACTCTGCACCACCACGACTCATTGTCTGACACATACGACTCTGAACCCTCGCTGTCCATCTCATAGACCGTTGTCATTGGGACACCAAGCCGATCACTGTCTGCAAGATCAAACACACGCTTCACACTTGCTGTTCCGGTCGATGAATTTGAGCTCGATGCGGACGAACTGTTCCCCGATGCGGACGATGTATCATTCTGGCTGACGTTTCGAACTTTGTCCTTCATCCAACACTCATTGCCCCAATGCCCTGACTTCCCGCAGATTCGACAAGCATCATGAGAAAGCCTTTCTTTGCCCTTTCCTCCTTTCTTTCCTCTGTCCTTTCCTCCTTTGCTCCAATCATTTCTGCTCCACGAGGGCTGTTTTCCTTTTCCTCCTTTCTCATAACCTTTTCCTTTGCCTGGACGACTCTCATATCCTCCTTTGCCACCTTTGCCTTTGCCGTTCTTTCCTCCATACTTTCCTCCATCTTTGCCACCACCATTGCCAGCCCCTTTACCCCATTTGCCCTTTCCTTTAGGCCATCCTTTCACACGATCGACATCCATGGGGCTCGGGCCGTTCGGATCATCATGCGAAGGTTTCTGCGGTGCCCCTCCTGTCACGATTTGCGAAGACCACTTCTGTGTAGAACGCTCCCACCGAAGGATCATGTCTCTCATGCTCTCATACGTGGAATCGTCACCGATGGTGATTGTCAAGTGTGACCGAACTTGCTGAGGCAAAACACGCAACAAGATTGCACTCTGCATCTCATTCGGAACTGGCTTTCCCGACGCCTGCTCGTACTTGCGGAAGAGGTCCTCAAGACGTAGCACCTGCTCCAAGAGATTCCCTTGATTCATTGCCGGAAACTGTGAGATTGCTCCCAAAAGTGCAAGCGCTCGTGTCTTATTGGTGGGTGCCAGCACATTGTTTAGCACACGCCATGTCTCGAATCCATTGGCACCGGTGACACTCTTGAGGATTTGGAGAGGCCTTTCCCGAAGCATGCTCGTGAGGATTGCATACAGCTGCTTTCCCTGTAGGATGGCATCGTCGGTCATAGTGGCTTCTTCACAAGGCGAACTCAAATCCTGCTCTACCTCTTCAATCGCAGTATACATCTCAGGGCTTATTGCAAGGATCCACTGCTTGAAGCTCCAACTCCAATCTTGCCATTGCGTTAGCTCTTCTTCTCGGTCTTTGGGCTTGAAAGGGTCAGGTCGAGGGATGAACTTCGTCCACCCCGTCGGAGCTTCCTTCCTGGAACCAAGGTGAGTGACCGCCTCTTTCAATTCTTCTGACTGTCTTTGCTGCTCAATGGACATGGACTGAAACAAACTCATGAAAGAACGATTCTGCTCTTGGCCCTGCATCACCATGTTGCCTAAGGCTTCCAAAATCTGAGGCACACTCGCAGTTGCAGACTGAGGCGATGTTGGCTGGGACTGTGCAAACGGATTCGGGGCTGAGGAAGGTTGGGATTGACCTTGAGGAGACGCCATGACTGCAATCAAAGCTCAACGGAACCCTCAGACTGCTTCAATGCCACCTCGAACTTCAACCTCTTTGGTGTGGGCTCACTGGTCTCGGTCAGGTCGAGTGGTTCACTTCGAGGCTCCAGCGACTGTTCGAACACGCCCGATCCGCTGCTCTCGCCCTGGTCCAACCTAGACAAGATCTCCAGGTCACGCTCAAACGTCTTGCCCTCTTCAGTCGCGTGCACAAAGTTCTCTTGAGCACTCCACTCTACAGCTTCACGGCACACGTTCTCTGTTGCGATGAACCGAAAATCTTCCAAGATGCTCGGGTTCTTGTTCAAACACTTTTCAGCCAAAGCGAAAACGTCCTCGATCCTGCTCAGTCTATCCAGCTTGGGCTCCAAACTCAAGCGAGCTGACTCCAGGATGTTCTGCCAACCTTTCTGGGTTCGATTCTCTGGCTTCGGCCGCAACAAGAGCTGCTCAAAGTAAAACTCACGTAGCTTCTGCTTTGCTTCTTCCAAACCGCCCCACGTCGCCGTCGTGCCACCGCAGCCCACAGCGCGGTGGTAAAAGACAAGGAGGTTCTGGCCGCCCAGCTGCCCGTCTGCACCCCACTAGGCCGCCTCCAGCAGCCCAGGCACAAAGGAAGCTATGAAGAGGATCCAACCCTCAGAGGCACAAACCTACAGCTGGGGCACTACCTACCCTACTGTCGAGGCTAGGGTCCAGGCCTCTTTCCCGGAGCTCAGGTACCCAAGGGTGGACCTTCACAGCTCCGCTACCATACGAAACTTTTCCACTTCAAGCAAAAGCGCCTGTGTCATTGCACAGTCGATGGAAAACATGATGTGCCCAAGTAAAATCACTTTGGGGTAAAACAGGGGTGTGCTACTGTACTTTCACCTTTTGCATGTAGCCTTCATGGTGACAGTAGGCGATCTCGGACTGGTCTGCACGAAGCTTCGCATCCTTCAGCTGCTTTCTTGCTTCATCTCGCTTTTCCTTTTCAGCCATGAAGAGACCTCTCCGCTCCAGCCACGTGCTCTGCAACCGGTAGCTGCCTTGGGGCAGCTCGGCTGCCCACTCCTGCTCTGCTGCAAGCACGAGCTTCTGCGCCTGCATGTCTGCCCTCCAGTGCAGGTAGCCATTTCGTCCGAGGCAAGCCAAGCTCCATGGTCTCTGCTCCTCTCTCGCCATCTGCAAAGCCCAGGCTGCATCCAGCATGCGAGCAAGCGAAGCAACACTGCACTTGAAAGTGGGTCTGCAACCTGCGGCAGCAGCAGTCCGATCTGGTGGGCGAGCTTGATGGAGACCTGCACTCTCTCCCAGTTCTGCAGCAGCCCCTGCGATCAAATCTTCCTCCAGGGCTCCAGATCCTGCCTGCACTGCGATCTTTCTCCCTTACAAAGAATTTGCCTGCAGCCTCAAACTGCTCAGTCTCTTTCCACGTTCCATCTTCAGCTGTTGCTCAGTCTGCAATAGCTTGCAGTCTTCACTATCAAAGCCGGTCGCCACTGCTCTGCTTCAGGGTCTGCACCTGGCTTCAAAATAGTTCTTGAGGATCATGCGATGCTCCACAGTGCACCTCCACTTCTCATCTTTGTGAAAAGCAGAGCTTTAGCGCAGACTGCTTTTTCCGTTCGCACTTGAGCCAAACACATCAGTGTTCAGCTACACTGTCTTTGGTCAGCAAAGATGCTCTCTCCAAGAGCAAAGGCTTCAAGTCTTCAAACGACATCTCAACTTTGTTTAGACAAAGGAGAAGACAAAAGTAACATGCAAAACATCTTGGTTACTGCTTCAGGACTTCAGGTCTGTTGCAAAACATACAGCATGCTCTCAGAATGCCTCAGTCGAGTGTCAAACGGTCACGACACGGTACGAACGACGGGGCAAAGCACACGGAGTGAGTAACGGCCAAAGTCTGTTCCTCAGAGCTTTGCTTCAGCACTTCCAGATGACTCTCAGGTCAACTCCCGAGAGCTAAAAGCTTCTCTGTGCTTCTCAAAACTCATCATCGGACTTGCAAACCAAAACATGTCAAGTCAAAGCACCTTCATGTTATGCAAACATGCTCATGCCAAAACAAAACATGTTCTTGCCATGTCACAGCACTCATGTCCTACACATGTACCTGCAAGCAACTAGGCACACAAAGAAATGTCATATTTTCTTCAGCAAGCGCGAAAGCGTTACCCAGTGGGCGTCCTGCATGCAAATGAATTCGCCCGGAGCCCCTAAGGGGCGAGACATAGTCTCTCGGGCTGGTCGGCCAACCTGCTACGGCAAAACCTCAGCTCAAGGCTGGGAGTGTGGTGCACCCACATACTACCTACAGGCGCCTATGACACAGTTTAGAGGTTCTGACCGCTAGTAGAACAGGTCAGATGGACTGTGGCTTTCACTCGTCCGAGTCGCCAGCTGTACAAAGCACTTCGCTTTTCCTACTCCTCTCATCGTACTGACCATAGCCCAAGCAAAAGACCTGCTCCCAGCAGCTAGTCTGTGTCCATCACATCAGAGGAAGGAATTCTCGAAACCGCAGCCCCGAGGCTGGGAATCCATGGCATAACAGCACCCGCACAGGAGCACAAGCGAGTGTCATGCACTGATTCCACAGCCTTGAGGCCTGGGTTGAACACAGCCAACGAACTTCCTAGCCTCACGCCCAAACAGCCCAAGGGGGTCCTCAACCTCACTTTACATAAAGCAGCAGCCCCTCAATTTGGTACCTTTAGCGCGGGGCCCACGCACTCCCCTCAACCAGGCGCAGGGAGCGACGCTTTCCCTTCAACTAACTACGTGCAGGCGCAGGGAACAACGCCCTGCTAGACTTTCTGCAAGAAAGATTTCGAAACCCCGAAGACTGCTCCCAGGGACCTGCTGACTGCTCCCTGGGAAAGGGCCAAAACGAACCAAATGGACCCACACAGTAAAGGGACCTTCCCTGGCTGCTGCAAGCAAGGGAAGGGAACCCACTGCCCCTGTAAAACCCCAGACTGTTTCAAGGGAAGGGCCAAATCAGGACTCTGGGCCCCACGGAACGCCGACCCGTATGATCTTTGGTGCCAGCGGGCCAACTTTTCTCAAAGTGCTAAAAAGGGGATTTGGGGCAGAAAACCTCGGCAAAAGCCTATGCCAGCAACAGCATGTTGCATTTTTGGCCTCTGCGCTACGCCCTAAACCCCAAAAGAGAAAACACCGGAACAAAAAGGACAGAATCCGGACAACATGCCAAAAGGCTCATCACCCTTGCAATCTCGCACAGCGAAGAAGAAGGGTGACCATTGGCCTGCACCTCGCGCGCCTTCAATCATATGCCCAGTGAGGAGACGAGATACAGGTCCTGAGCCTGCCTGGAAAGCCCCATGGTGCGCTTATCCCATACCTGGTGGTAGGGCGAAGGCAGGCAGTCCAGGCAAGAGGGGAAAGCCACCGTCAGCAAACAGCACTGCCAAGCACCTACCCTAAAACCAACCCTAAACCCAGGGGAGCAGCGGCAGGAGCAGTCACAAGGTCTGAGGAAAGGGCTACTCTCTGCCGCCGGCGCATAGGCCTGCAGGGAAGCCCCAGACAACCCTGCAGAGGGCCAAAAACTTCTGCCTCAGCTCAACACGAGGCCATTACCAAACGCATCCTAACCGAAAGGCCTAACGTCCTCCGCACATGGGCAACTGGCCGAGAACGAAACGCGCTGCAACCATCTAATTATGGCGAAAATCCAATGGCGAGCAAGGAACCACACAGCTCCCTCTGTGCCAGACACTCTGCTGGCACTTGCTTGGGTGCATCTGCATGGTTAGGGGAAAAAGCCAGCCTCAACACAATTTGCGAGGCCCCCCCAAGGTCCCTCAGAGACTATTGGGTGGGACCAGGGCCACAAGCCTCACAAGGAACCCCAAATCACTGAAGCGACCATGAGAGCCCAGGCTGGGCCGACCTCACGACACCACACGTGGATAGGCCTGCCTGCGAGGAGTGCTAAGCCAGATTACGGCCGATACCTCAAACTGCCAGCTAGGCCCTGAGAAGGCCACGTCTGATGTGCAAACCACAGCCTCAAGGGCGGGGCAGTTACACCACAGCCTAGAGGCGGGGACAGATGGGGTCTGGATAGAAGTGGCACAACAGCGTCCAGGACGAACCTTCCTGCAAAGGTGCTTTGAAGCGGCAACTGTAGTATGACCAATCTGATCGGCGCGGTTAATCGCAACTCAGCCCGTTCGCCTTCAGGAGAGCTGCTTCCGCACGATAGACCAGCCAAAACTAGGTGAAAGTTGCACAGCAATTCAAGCAAATTGTCAAGTCAAGTAAAATCAAGAAAACAAGGCACCACTATGGCAAACTAAGGCTGGCGGCCACGACAGCACTGAAAGGTCTGAGCACTCACGCCTCCTAGCTGGAGGGGAAGTGATGCCCACCTCCCACCTGGAGGGGATGTGGTGCCCACCTCCCAGCTGGAGGGGTTTGCTCCGTAGCTCAAGGAAGGGTGCAATGCGGAACCACAGCCACACGGCCGGGTAAAAGCTCTGACACGATATGGCTCGTCCAGTACCTTAACACAGCTGAGGCCCGAAACCCAGGTTCACAGCTACTCGCTCAGCTAACTGTGCAGGCTACAGCCTTGAGCCAGCTTGAGCCAATGTCATATTTTCTTCAGCAAGCGCGAAAGCGTTACCCAGTGGGCGTCCATCATGCAAATGAATTCACCCGGAGCCCCTAAGGGGCGAGACATAGTCTCTCGGGCGGCCAACCTGCTACGGCAAAACCTCAGCTCAAGGCTGGGAAAGTGGTGCACCCACTTACTACCTACAGGCGCCTATGACACAGTTTAGAGGCTCTGACCGCTTGTAGAACAGGTCAGATGGAGGACTGTGGCTTTCACTCGTCCGAGTCGCCAGCTGTACAAAGCACTTCGCTTTTCCTACTCCTCTCATCGTACTGATCATAGCCCAAGCAAAAGACCTGCTCCCAGCAGCTAGTCTGTGTCCATCACATCAGAGGAAGGAAGTCTCGAAACCGCAGCCCCGAGGCTGGGAATCCATGGCATAACAGCACCCGCACAGGAGCACAAGCGACTGTCATGCACTGATTCCACAGCCTTTAGGCCCGGTTGAACACTTCCAAGCCTCACGCCCAAACAACCCAAGGGGGTCCTCTATCTCACCGTGCACAAAGCAGCAGCCCCTCAATTTGGTACCTTTAGCGCGGGGCCCACGCACTCCCCTCAACCAGGCGCAGGGAGCGACGCTTTCCCTTCAACTAACTACGTGCAGGCGCAGGGAACAACGCCCTGCTAGACTTTCTGCAAGAAAAGATTTCGAAACCCCGAAGACTGCTCCCAGGGACCTGCTGACTGCTCGCTGGGAAAGGGCCAAAACGAACCAAATGGACCCACACAGTAAGGGGACCTTCCCAGGCAGCTGCAAGCAAGGGAAGGAAACCCACCGCCCCTGTAAAACCCCAGACTGTTTCAAGGGAAGGGCCGAATAAGGACTCTGGGCCCCACGGCACGCCGACCCGTATGATCTTTGGTGCCAGCGGGCCAACTTTTTCTCAAAGTGCTAAAAAGGGAATCAGGGCAGAAAACCTCGGCAAAAGCCTATGCCAGCAACAGCATGTTGCATTTTTTGCCTCTGCGCTACACCCTAAACCCCAAAAGAGAAAACACCGGATCAAAAGGGACAGAATCCGGACAACAAGCCAAAAAAAGCTCATCACCCTTGCAATCTCGCACAGCGAAGAAGAAGGAGTGACTATTGGCCTGCACCTCGCGAGCCTTCAATCATATGCCCAGTGAGGAGACGAGATACAGGTCCTGAGCTGCCTGGAAAGCCCCATGGTGCGCTTATCCCATACCTGGTGGTAGGGCGAAGGCAGGCAGTCCATGCAAGGAGGGAAAATGACTCAGCCGGCTGCATCCACCGTCAGCTAGCAGGCAGCACTGCCAAGTACCTACCCTAGAACCAGCCCTAAACCCAGGGCACCAGCGTGAGACTACTCTCTGCCGCCGGCGCGTAGGCCTGCAGGGAAGCCCCAGACAACCCTACAGAGGGCCTAAAGCCACTGCCCCATCTCAAAGTGAGGCCATTACCAAACGCATCCTAACCAAAAGGCTTAACGTCCTCCGCACATGGGCAACTGGCCGAGAACGAAACGCGCTGCAACCATCTAATTAAGGCGAAAATCCAATGGCGAGCAAGGAACCACACAGCTCCCTCTGT